ATAGGTTACAAAACCTAATTCTAATGTTATCATGCCCAACATGATAGTCACGCTCAATGTGAGCATCATAGGGACTGCCTTGAAGCTCCAACACAAAAAGATCCTCAACGTGACCATGTTGCTTAGTGTGCATTTGATGACATTAATATTGCATATGTAACGACCTGTCGTGGCCGTCACACTACGGAACAACACTACATACTGCTCGAAAATATAATAAAATAGTATAATAAATTTTTACAATACAAGTTGCTAATTAAGCAACAAACAACTAGTTATATACAAGCATATTTGCTACTATAAGGTAGCCTACAAAAAAAATATCCATCTTCAGGCACCTCCTATGGCCTCTAGCAGCTACCTCCCAACCTATCCCTGCCCTGCTCCCATACCACGTATGATCATCGCAGTCCAAACCACATAAAAACATGCAAGGGTAAGCTAGAGACAATAAATAACTCATAATAATTTAATATTCAACATAACAACTATATAATCATCTTCATATTCGTCACTTGAGACAAACAACATATATATACTATACATCTTAACATTCATTTCAACTTACAACATAACAACACTATCGTCATCCTCCACAAGGTCAACATACAACACAATCACATCTTAACAACACAACAACAAATATACAACTCATATCAACGATAAATCAACTCCTCAACAACTTATGCGTCGTCACGCATTTCGACTCGGAGATCTCCTACAACATGGTAAGTAGTCTAAGTGGGTAGGTCCTACCAAACCGACAACACAACACATTTGGATATCAATCCACAACACGATAATGGTTTCTCAGACTTTGCCACTTAAACAAGGAAGTACAGTACTCGGTTAGGAACTAAGTTCCCGACTTCGTACTTTACTCAAATTGGTCACTTGTAATCGATATAGGTCGACCTGACCACTATACCGTGGTTGCTTTGTAATCAGTATAGCTCGACCTTGCCCCTGTACCGTGGTCGCTTTATAATCGGTATAGCTCGACCTTGCCCCTATACCGTGGTCGCTTTATACACGTGTGCCTCGACCTTGCTCACACACGGGATCAACTAAGTCCTAGAGGAGAACAACACAACGACCACTCCAAGGGACAACTTCCCAAGGAGGGTTTTTTCCAACAAATTGGGCTCTCAGAGCACCACAACTATCTCAATCCACACAATGGGATGAGCAACTTCGAAAACATCTCCCCTAGTCCCAGTGATCAACAACTTATCATCACAACTTAAACAACTTACAACTCAACAACACAACTTTACAGCAATAGACATCTTAACAACTTTACAGCAATAGGAAACTTAACAACTTTACAACAATAAACAACTTAACAACTTTACAGCAATAGGCACCTTAACAACTTTACAGCAATAAGCAACTTAAGAACTTTACAGCAATAAACAACTTAACAACTCTACAACAATAAACAACTTAACAACTTTACAACAATAAATAACTATAGTCATCAATCTCAACTTTAACAACTTTAAACAACATAAAAACTTTTTAGCAATATACAACTCTCTTCTAACAACTTGACAACACAGTCTAATAATAACATCTCATCATACTTCACAATGTAAACATGTCCACACATATAGCAACCTTATCAACTTAATTTCAACTAATTTCAACAATATCATAGATCAACACACAACTTGTAAACAACTTCACAACTTAACTACAACATGCATCTCATTTACATCCCATTTTCATCATGAAAGCATCACCAACAACATCATTAATAAATATTTAATCATATATTAGCAACACACAATATTTTCATCACATAACCCAACTCATACTAATCAACCTAAGCACTCAAATGAGTTCTCAACTCACATACAACCAACAAATTTACAATCTAGCTTCCCTTACCTAAAGATTGGCTCAAGATAGCCAAGAAGCGAAAATCCCTTTCCGAAGCTCAACCCGGAACTTCAATCCACCCAAAGCAAGCTTCTTGGTCCAGAGTCTTTCTCTCTAAAACTTCTCTCTAAAAACCTCCATTTATCTTCAACCACCCAACTCTATTTATAGACATTCAGGAGTGGCCAGAACGGCCTATTCCGAATCTGGAACGGCCCGTTTTGCACTCTTTCACCAAGTACAAAATTTAAATGCAAAACGGCCCGTTCTGAAATCAAAACGGCCCGTTCTTCATCCAGAACGACCTGTTTTGGGGTTTGAGACGACCCGTTCTCCCTCTAGAACGGCCCGTTCTCAACTACATTTTAAAGGTCAATTCAGTAGTTTAGAACGGCCCATTCTAGTTTCGGAACGGCCGTTCTGGACTACTGAATCACCCGTATTGAGCCTTCTAAAATAATTTACTACGTTACAATACCTCCCAAAAAAAAGAATTTTCGTCCCCGAAAATAGACTTACTTGGAAATAAAGAAAAAATATTGCTCTCTGCACAGTTGCTCAATCTCCCAAGTAGTCTCACCAGTAATTGCATCCCACAAGATCTTCACCAATCCAGTGGGCTTGTAACTTAACTCCTTCAACTTGTACTCAATCACAACTACCGGTCTCTTCTCCTAAGTCAGGTTCTCCTTGACCTGAATCTCACCCATCTCAACTACATGACTTGGGTCATGGACATACTTCCTTAACTGAGAAACATAAAACACATGCCCCTCCCAGAAAACTCCAAAGGCCTTTTCCTTCTATCAACTTATCATTTCTGCCTACTCTAGGCAACCTCATCCTTTCTTGAATCAACTTCACCTCCTCAATAATTTATAAAGTAACTCTAGCCCTGCGACTATCGACTCACCATCTTTGATACCAGCATAGAGGAGTCCTACACTTCCTACCATGCAATGCTTCAAATTCCAATACTAGCATGAAAGCTATTATTGCACATGAACTCCACCAGTAGTAGGACTTCCTCCTAACTCTCTCCAAGTGGTCTAGCACACAAGCTCTCAATAAAACCTCCAAGGACTGAATCGTCCTCTCTGACTGACCATCCGATGTGGATGATATGCAGAACCCAATCTCAACCTCATATCTAAGACTTGATGTAGACTCTGCCAAAAATCTAAAAGTGGACCTTGGATCCCTATCTGAAATAATACAAGAAGGCACCCCGTGCAACCGTACTATTTCCTTCACATACAACTGTGTCAACTTCTACAAGGACTACCTGATATTAACAAGCAAGAAAAGTGCACACTTGGCCAATTTGTCAACCACAACTCAAATAGCATCACTATCCCAATTCGCCTTAGGAAACCCATAAATGAAATCAATAATGATACTATCCAACTTCCACTACCGGATCTCCATCATCAACAACAAAACACCAGACTTCGAGTGCTCAACCTTAGCCCTCTGACAGATCAGACATGCCGCCATATATTCAACAATGTCTCTTTGTACTTAGAATCTTGAGGTAGGCAAATTCTGCCCTTAAACCTCAAATCCCATCTTCACCCATCTCAAAGCCAATTGCTTCCTCTGTATCCAAAAAATTAAGAACCTTCACAACTTTTGAATTTTACAACTACTTCATACCAACTTGCTACAAGAACTCACTAGCAATGGTAATCATGCCACAGCTAATGTGGTATTGAGCCAACTCCACATACAGATTCAAATCTCTGAATTTCTCAACCAGCTCCAACTTCTTCACCATCAAACTAGACATGTAGATGGACTTCCTACTCAAAGCGTCTGCCACTACATTGGCCTTCCTAGGGTGATACATCAACTGAAATTCATAATCTTATAAAATATTTCATCCACTGTCTCTGTCTCATGTTCAACTCCTTCTGATCAAGCAAGTACTTCAACTCTTGTAATCACCAAAGACGTTAAATCCTGCATTATGAAAACAGTGCATCCATACCTTTAAGGCAAAAACAACTGCTGCCAACTCTAAGTCATGAGTAGGGTAATTCCTATCATGATTCTTCAATTGCCTTAAAGCCTATGCAACTACTCTCCTATTCTACATCAACACACACCCCAACCCTTGGTGAGAAACAACACAACACACCTCAAATGGCTCACTAGGATCAAGCAACACCAACATAGGAGAAGTAGTCAATCTTTCTCTTCAACTCTTCCACCTGACACTTCAATTCAACCAACTCTGTTGGGGCCATCTTATAGGGAACAACCAACACTAGCCCTACACCAAGGACCAGATCAATGCTAAACTCAATCTCCCTAGTAGGAGGTAACCCAGACACCTCATCCAAAAACACCTTCAGAAATTTCCTCACCACTCCTACATATTGATCACCTTCTCAGTTTCCACACTTACAACAGCAAACAGAATATAACACTCTGCTCCATCTCTCAACATCACTTCAGCTTGGCTGGCTAAAATCAACAATTCATCTTTCCCCTAAGGGAAAACCAACTCTATATTGGCGCAATCTATAAGAATGTGATTGGCAGATAACCAATCCATCCCTAAGATTATGTCAATATCCACTAAAGGCAAACACAGATCAAGTTCACCTTATCCTTCCTATCACACATTTCCAAGGGACAACCAACACACGTCTTAAAGGCAACAATAGAAACAAAAGCGTGCGCAGACACAAACAATCTCAACCCCAAATTATGTACATGCAAATCCAACTTTTCAGCACATTTATATAAAATAAATGAATGGGAGGCCCTGAGTTAAATAACATCACCGCATCCTTACCAGTAGCTTTACCCTTCCCCTTCACTAGATCAGATGAAGTGGAATCTTCGACTCTGGTCAAGGCAAACACCCTCCCAGCTACAGTAGATCTATCACCTCTCGGGGCACTTCTGGTCTGTCTGGCACCTACAGGACAACTATTCAACATGTGACCCATCTGGCCACACCTAAAACACTTGCTCTCGGTATGAGGGCAATCACGAATGAAGTGAGGTCCACCGCATCTGTAACATCTGAGAGTAGCAGCTCCACTCTAACCTCCACTCCTAGTTGTGTCAATAGATTTCCTTGTGATAGGACCCCCTTGTTGTGATTAGGGCCTACCATAAGGCTTCCTCTGAGGACCACCACCACTCTTGGACCCAACTGGTCCACCAACAATCTTCGTCGGCTTGCCGACGCTCTCTAGCCGCTCTATAACCTTCGCCTTCTCTACCAAGGCTGGAAACTCCATGATGGCCATAAGCACCACCACTCTCCTCAAATCATACTTCAAGCCTTCAGCAAACTTCCTACACTTCCAAGCCTTAGAGCTGGCTTGGGTGTAGAAGTGTGCCAAGTGCTCAAATCTCACTACATACTCAGTCACCGACATTCCCCCTTGTTGTAATATCATAAACTCTGCCTCCCGAGCATGCCTGACACTCACTGGGAAGTACTTCTCGAGGAAGGCCTTCTTGAAGCACACCTAGTCCACAAGCACTCCACGATCAATCAGCATCTGACTAGTACCTCTCCAACAATACTCTGCCTCCCCTGTCAACATATACACTGCATAGGTGAGCTTTCGCTCCTCTGAACAACCTAGAACTGAGAATATCTTTTTCCAACTTGCAAATCCAGTGGTCAACCACCTCTGGATCTGCATCACCTATAAACTGAGGAAGACCACACTTCCTGAACTTAGCCAAAACCCGACTCTCCTATGACCCAACTGGTCTTGAGGCACTAGTCCCAGCTCTATCATCATCCATCCTAGCAAAGTAGGCATTCTGCTATTGCATAACCATAGCCATCATCTCCATGGCATGGACTATCTACTCATGTTCTAAGCATCTTTTATATAATGAACAACTCATTCAACACACTGTATCTCAACTACTCAACACAAAGCAGCACAACATCCAATATGATGGAAATCTAATCCCCAAAGATCCCTTTAGAAGAGGTAAAACCAAGAAGGGTGAAGGTTGATCTAAGGAGTCTCTATTGTAAATATATTGTATAGTTTGATTTCTTGTACCTTGTTTATAGTAGATACTTGTATAGGTGTATTTTTGCCTTTGTATTTGAGAGGCACTTTATTTTCTTTTATTAGCTATTGTATATTGTTTCTAGGGTAGGTTACTTGGGCACTTTGACTCCATTTAACCTAATCTAGAAATACACTCTTTTCTTATTTTCTAGTAGTAGGATTGGGAGTGGCATTAGCAAGCTAGAGAGTGTCACTAGCAAGCTAGAGAGTGTTACTAGCAATTGGGCCAAGAGGTGGGCCTAGGCAAAATTTTACATATTGGACTCATTTTACTCCTAATTTTTCATAGATTTGATTTAGCTAGGTTCCATTCACATTGGATGAACCTAACTAAACCAAATCAACATTTTCAAAACCGGTTGGAGTAAATTAAGTCCAAAAAGCCGCCCACCTTAGTTTGTGTTCACATTGGCCGGATTGCTTGGCTCCTCTCAAGCTTAGAAGATTGAAGCACAAGCTTCTCCTTAGCTTGCTTACCAAGCAAGCTAAGTGAGGAGATTGCTCTCCAAGCCTCTAGACCATGGGTGGTTAGCTAGACCTTACCATGGTTCCTAGTGAACCATGGTTAAGACTAGCTTACTCTCCAAGCTTCCTACTCCTATATACATGTTTTCCTTTCATTGTAAGACACTTTTTGAGATATTGAGATTTATTTTCTGAAGAATTGTTCAGATTTCTCTCTTCTAAAAGTCCCTAAACCTCTTTGATATTCATCCAATTCTCTTATCCCTTCACTAGAAGAGTGTGGTGAGAATTGAAGAGACTTATCTCTTCATCAAGGAGTGGTGTCTCTTGGGAGATTTCTCCACCAAACCGTGGTGGTTCTAAGATCTCCTCCTCCATTGGAGACCTTAGCAAACCTTAGGAAAAATCAAGGAGCCAAAGATCTAGGGAGGAACTTGAAGAGGATTCACATCAATCCGGATTCTCCAACAAGTTTTCCATCACAATACAACACAGAGTTCAACTCAACAAAAGCCTAAAGGGACCATCCCCACAGAGTGTCCACTAGACTCGAACTGCTCTGATACCATAAAAGTGTAACGACCCTCCGCGGTCGTCACACTACGAAACAACACTACATACTGCTCGAAAATATACTAAAATAGTATAATAAATTTTTACAACACAAGTTGCTAATCAAGCAACAAACAACTAGTTATATACAAGAAAATCTGCTACTATAAGGTATCCTACAAAAAAAATATCCATCTTTAGGCACCTTCTGTGGCCTCTAGCAACTACCTCCCAACCTATCCCTGCCCTGCTCCCATACCGCGTATGATCATCGCAGTCCAAACCACATGGAAACATGCAAGGGTAAGCTAGAGACAATAAATAACTCATAATAATTTAATATTCAACATAACAACTATATAATCATCTTTATATTCGTCACTTGAGACAAATAACATATATATATACTATACATCTTAATATTCATTTCAACTTACAACATAACAACACTATCGTCATCCTCAACAAGGTCAACATACAACACAACCACAACTTAATAACACAACAACAAATATACAACTCATATCAACGACAAATCAACTCATCAACAACTTATGCGTCGTCACGCATTTCGACTCGGAGATCTCCTACAACATGGTAAGTAGTCTAAGTGGCTAGGTCCTACCAAACCGACAACAAAACACATTTGGATATCAATCCACAGCACGATAATGGTTTCTCAGACTTTGCCACTTAAACAAGGAAGTATAGTACTCGGTTAGGAACTAAGTTCCCGACTTCGTACTTTACTCAAATTGGTCACTTGTAATCGATATAGGTCAACCTGACTCCTATACAGTGGTTGCTTTATAATCAGTATAGCTCAACCTTTCCCATATACCGTGGTCGCTTTATAATCGGTATAACTCGACCTTGCCCCTATACCATGGTGCTTTATAATCGGTATAGCTCGACCTTGCCCCTATACCGTGGTCGCTTTATACACGTGTGCCTCGACCTTGCCCACACACGGGATCAACTAAGTCCTAGAGCAACTTCGAAAACATCTCCCCTAGTCCTAGTGATCAACAACTTATCATCACAGCTTAAATAGCTTACAACTCAACAACACAACTTTACAACAATAGGCATCTTAACAACTTTACAGCAATAGGCATCTTAACAACTTTACAGCAATAGGAAACTTAACAACTTAACAACTTTACAGCAATAGGCACCTTAACAACTTTACAACAATAAACAACTTAACAACTCTACAGCAATAAACAACTTAACAACTTTACAGCAAAAAACAACTATAGTCATCAATCTCGACTTTAAAAACTTTAAACAACATAGCAACTTTTTAGCAATATACAACTCTCTTCTAACAACTTGACAACACAGTCTAATAATAACATCTCATCATACTTCACAACGTAAACATGTCCACCATATAGCAACCTTATCAACTTAATTTCAACTAATTTCAACAATATCATAGATCAACACACAACTTGTAAACAACTTCACAACTTAACTACAACATGCATCTCATTTACATCTCATTTTCATCATGAAAGCATCACCAACAACATCATTAATAAATATTTAATCATATATTAGCAACACATAATATTTTCATCACATAACCCAACTCATACTAATCAACCTAAGCACTCAAATGAGTTCTCAACTCACATACAACCAACAACTTTACAATCTAGCTTCCCTTACCTGAAGATTGGCTCAGGATAGCCAAGAAGCGGAAATCCCTTTCCGAAGCTCAACCCGGAACTTCAATTCACCCAAAGCAAGCTTCTTAGTCTAGAGTCCTTCCCTCTAAAACTTCTCTCTAAAAACCTCCATTTCTCTTCAACCACCCAACTCTACTTATAGACATCCATGAGTGGCCAGAACGGCCTATTCCGAATCCGGAACGGCTTGTTTTGCACTCTTTCACCAAGTACAAAATTAACATGCAGAATGGCCCGTTCTGAAATCAGAACGGCCCGTTCTCCATCCAGAACGGCCCGTACTCCCTCCGGAACGACCCGTTTTGGGGTTTGAAAGGGCCCGTTCTCCCTCCAGAACGACCCATTCTCAACTATGTTTTAAAGGTCAATTCAGTAGTTTGGAACGGTCCGTTCCAGTTTCGGAACGGCCCGTTCTGGACTACTGAATCACCCGTACTGAGCCTTCTAATATAATTTACTACGTTACAGCATAACATGTGAATTTTATGAATTACAAGTCTTAATCATCCAAATTACATTTACAAATAGTAGAAACATTCTAAGGGTTACATTACACTCCAAAAAGGTACAATTTACACATACAATAATCAATTCTTTATACAACCACCAATGCATTCCCTTAAAGTTCTCATAGGAATCTATGGGCACTCCAATATTCACTATTACGGACACAATCATGAAATTGAAACCCTAAACAAATACACATTAAATAGAAAAATGAAGAATCATAGAGAAGACCAAAAATAAATAAGACAATTGATTGGGAAAGCCCCTTTCATGCAATACAAGCAACAAAGAAAAGATTTTGAGTCAATTCCACTACTCAACATATATATCATACACATAGAGTGACATTACTCATTCCTTTCTTACCTTGATGAACGCTAAAAGATAGATGTGGATCTTCGGGGTGTCCTCCTACGAACTCTAGTTCTCCCAAGCCTTTAGAATGTAAATGCACAGTAAATAAAAAATGAGAAGCATAAAATCAGAAAACTAACCTTAACTCCCCTTTAAAAAAACATAACTCCTCACTTAATCCAATAGTTAAAACATTTAACCCAAGTTACTCAACGTTTCCTGAAACAATAATTAAATCAATTAATTATACAACTTTATAATATATTCATATACATATAAAATAATTATGACAAAATACAATAATAGTAATTGGAAATATATATATATATATATATATATTCAAATGTAT